GCAAAGCTGAACAGAAATGTACACGAGACTGACCCTTACATCCTCATTGTGAACCCGGAGTCTATTGATGTTTATGTACTGCAATTACAGCAAGAGCTTAACGTTCTTCCCTTTCACTGAGAGGCCACTGAAAGAGCAGCAGAAATCATGGGAAATCTTGGTGTTTATCTGGCATGGAGAAGAGTGGCCCAGGATGTGCAGGTTCTAAGTGGATCAGATTCAACAGTCTGATAGCGTGTGAAGCCCGGAGGAACAAGCTGATGCTGAATGTGGTTGTGTTTTACAAATTGTTTGTTTTGTGTTTGGAGGGCGAGGACTGGGCACAGTGCCTAGGCACAAATGCAGCCCACAATGCATCCTTTCTTCTCATCTGAGCACATAGAGGAACAGCAAGTAAAAAGTGAAAGCTACAGAAAAAAACACAGCTTTTGGGGTAATTTAATAGCAATGTCAACGATTAACAGAGTAAGCAACTATTACCCTATATTACTTTCTATAGTGAACTTTATAGTAAAGTTTTGCTTGTCCGTCAGTGTGGGTGGTCTACTAATGCCAACGTCGCAGACCTAGCCCCTACCTGGAAAATGAGCGTGTGTTTTGAGCCTAGAAGATATCGCGAAGGTTTCCTTACAGCTGAGCTCCAAGGAAAAAAACAAAAAAAAACATTGCCATGGGCTCCCCACACAGTGCAAGTATTAACTAATTGCCGACCGCAGATAGCCGAATGACGGCTGCACTGCGGCCGGCCAGTTCTGGGTGGACGTCATATGACGTTCTCCCAGAACGCGCTCTCTCCTGCGCACCCCCCCGAGGGCGCGCACCCGGCGATCTCCGTGATCACTGTGTCCTACAGACACAGCTGATCACGTGACGTGGTAAAAGGCCAATCACAGCGGCCTTTTTACCACGTGATCAGTCGTGTCCAATGACACGCTGATCACCGGGAAATGCAAATGCTGGTTCTCGGCTGCACTTTCCTCACGCTGTCAGATCGTGAGGAAAGTACTGCCGAAAACCGGCAGTTGTCAGAGCGGGGATCGGCACCAATCATCAGTGCCCTGATGATCGGTGCCCAGCTGTGCCGCACACAAGTTCCGCCCACCTGTTCCCAGCAGTGCCGCCAGTCAGTGCCGTCTATCAGTACCCATTATCCGTGCCGCCTATCCGTGCCCATCAGTGCCGCCTATCAGTTCCCATCAGTGCTGCCTCATCAACGCACATCATTGAAGGAGAAAAAATTACCTGTTTGAAAATTTTTATAATAGAAACAAAGAAACTTTTTTTTTTTTTTTTTTCCAAATTTTTTTTGCAATTTTTGCTTATAGCACAAAAAGTAAAGCGCCCAGCGGCAATTAAATACCACCAAAAGAAAGCTCTGTTTGTGAGAAAAAAAAAATGATAAAAATTTCATATGGGTACAGTGTTGCATGACCGCACAATTGTCATTTAAAGTGCGACAGCGCTGAAAGCTGAAAATTGGCCTGGTAAGGAAGGGGGTAAAAGTGCCCGTAGGCAAGTGGTTAAACACTTGTTCATGCCGGGAGTATTCACAACAAGCACTTTTACTCATGCGGTCCCCGCACTCCCCCGGTCAGTGCTCTGGTTAGTGGGCAGCCCCTCTACATCCCAATGCACAATGCAAGTCTAGTGGCCATGCGTTGTACTTTATGATGTCAGAGTTCTTGAGACGGATTTTACGATGTGTAGTGGGAAAAGCAGCTGCAGCCGCTGGCCTTACGGCACGTACAAGTCTTTGGGAGCAGAGGATTAGCCAAGTAGAAGTCCTTGTTACAGGTATAGAGGAGCATTTATCCCCTGCAGTGGGACTCACCCAGCATTCAAAGGGATAAAATTCTGCTTCATGCTCATAAAAAGACCTCTATTTGCCTAATCCCTCACTTCTGCTGACTTTTCCTTGAGTCCAGCTTTAAAAAACGTGCGCCTTTTCTGTATGCTGAATGTATTGCATGTAAAAGGCCGGAGCCTCATTTTTTCCCTTTGCTAGCTTCTTGCTTTGCAGGTGCACATGACTTTGTTTATGTTCCTCAGTAAACTGATATGACTGTAGGAGGTTGTCATTGTAAAGGATGGTATAGGCCAGTGGTCGGCAAAAAACCGCGGCTCGCGAGCCACATGCGGCTCTTTACAAACTTAAATGCGGCTCTTCTGTGTGCCGGGCGCCCGCTCCCCCCCTCCCTCCTCTCGGGCGGCCCGCCCCAAAAGTCAGGACTCTGCAGCTGTCAGGATGTAGGCGGGGCAGCCAGGATGTAGGCGGGGCAGCGTGACGAACTCCTCTCCTCTCTCAGTCCGCCCTGAAGACCAGAACGGCGCGGGAACACGGCGAGAGGAACGCGCGGAGCAAAGGTAAGTGAATTGACACAGGGGGGACTTACTATATGGGGAATGAATTACTATATTACTATGGGGGATGAATTACTATATGGGGGATGAATTGCTATATGGGGGATGAATGCTATATTGAATTGCTATATGGGGGATGAATTTTACTATGGGGGATGAATTACTAATTGAATTGCTATATGGGGGGATGGGGGGATGAATTGCTAATATATGGGGGGGATGAATTGCTATATGGGGGGGATGAATTACTATATGGGGGGGGGATGAATTACTATATGGGGGGGGATGAATTACTATATGGGGGGGGATGAATTACTATATGGGGGGGATGAATTACTATATGGGGGGGGGGGGGGATGAATTACTATATGGGGGGGGATGAATTACTATATGGGGGGGGATGAAATTACTATATGGGGGGGGGGATGAATTACTATATGGGGGGGGATGAATTACTATATGGGGGGGAATGACTATATGGGGGGGATGAATTACTATATTATATAACAGGGGGGGGGATGAATTACAATATGGGGGGGAATGAATTACTATATGGGGGGGGGATGAATATATGGGGGGGATGAATACTATATGGGGGGGGGATGAATTATATGGGGGGGATGAATATTTACTATATGGGGGGGATGAATTACTATTATGGGAGATGGGAGATATTTTCAGTTTTAAAAAATGTGGCTCTCAAAATAAATTTCAATCGTGGTTTTGGCGAGATTTGGCTCAGTTGAAAAAAAAAAAGGTTGCCCACCACTGGTATAGGCGGATGGAGCGCGCGCCCAAACTGATCTCAGCACCCCTCCTGCATTTCAGGGTGGACATGCAGTCAGTTGTAGGGGATGCTGACATGGACAAGATGGCAGCCACCCCCTCACACCAATGATATAAATACGTTTTGTCCCACATACATAAAGAGAACAGAGAATGGAGAAAGTGTTTTTTTAACCATGTACATTCTATCAATAGCAAAAAAAAAAAAAAAAAAAATAAAAAAATAAAAAAAAAGGAGAGAGACGGGTTAAGATAGCGAAGGTTTCTACGAGTAAATGTTCGATAGTTGGAAGACAAGTTTAGAAGTAGCAGGAGTGTAAAGGTTAAACAGGGATGTTGAAGTCACTGAGAATAATTGTGGGAATTTCAGAAGAGAGAAAGTAAGGAAGGCAGAGAAGTCATCAAAGAAGCTTTATAATGGTCCAGGAGGCCGATAGATCACAGCAATTCTTAAAGAAACTGGAGAGAATAGGCAAATACAGTGAGCTGCAAATGGAGAGGGAGGTGAATGAAGGACATGAAAAGTGCTTTGAGGGGATAGGAGGATTCCAACTCCACATCCCACTAGGCCTGGGATAGCGAGTCCAGAGGAGACCACCATGGGAGAGAGAAAGTCAGATTCATGAAGCCAGATTTCCTTAACTGCAAGTAGGTTAAAGGAGTTTGTGATAAAGTTGTGGACAGGAGGTGAGCTGGTTACAGAGTGGGCATTTCAAAGGGCACAGGAAAAAGGAGAGGCTGGTTCTAGTAAGAAGAGTAACCAGATTGTGTGGATTGCGGCTGCTGTTAGAGGATAGGGGTTGCTGGGTGTGTTGGTCAAAGGAAAAAGATGGCAGCCCAGGATTTGGGGAAATAACTCCAGATGTTAGGAGAAGCAGAAGGGTGAGAGAGGTAATGTGTGGAGTATGACTTCTATGGAGGGACAGGTTCCAGTGTCCTGGAGGTGTTATTAGTATGGGGGTTAAGAATCAGCAGGAGTTGATGAGTGCAGTAATAAAGGTGAAGAGTGAGGGTAACATATAGAAGCTGTGGTGTGGAGAAGAGGGGAGAGAGAGTTAGAAGAGCGGATACAACTGTTGAGAAGGAGTAGGATGTGCATGTTACAGAGTGGTGAGATAAAGAAGCAGCCTGTGTAAGAAATTAAAAAGCTGGGGAAACAGGTCACCTGTAGTCTGTAGTATTTGGAGTTGTCTGCTGTGGCTTCTCGCTTTGTGCATTCGCTGAAGTGCAGAGCAGAAGTGCAATGCTCAATACTTAATCCAAGATTAATACTTTATCCAAGATGATAGTTGGCAATGCAACCCCCTGGCTGTGCCTCCCCTAAGGAAGGCCTAAATTTATACTGAGTTGGGTGGGGGTGTTGCCAATTAATGAATTGGGAATGCATAGGAGAAAAACACATGGCTAGCAGGGCCAACTTCTCAAATCAAAGGAAGACTTCAAGAGAGCAGGGGGGCAGAGTTGTAAAGATTAGGATCAGCTCATAAGTTTTGGTTAGACAATAAGAGCAAAATAAACATCATAGTAACATGGACAGAGCTAGAGATTTTGGAAGCAGCAATTATTAACAATAAGAACATTGATCGTAATGAATCAGTTTCAGTTAGAGGTGGATTTTAAAAGCAGTATAGATTGCCATATAGCACAGAAGTGTCAATTAGAAGTCATACGTGGCATTGGAGATGATACAGATGGAGATTGATCGCAGACATTGAGGGTAAAGATAATGCAGTTTGCCTATAAGCAATAAGCCAGTCAAGAAACTCTGACCTTAACCCAATGGGTTGAGAGAAAACAAAACAAAACAAAAAAAAAAAAAAACCACACACCACTGATCAAGGCATGTTACTTACTATTCTAAGACAAGGATCATTTCAGTGGCTGTTTCATAGACTTCATGCAGTTTGATGACCCAAGGGTTCCCAAGTGCAAGTTCCAGTACTGCAATCTCATGAAGGATTTCCATACGGCAATCCTGGCCCTTCCGCCGTTTTCTCATAATCTTTGCAGCAAACTCCTTCTCTGTGTCTTTTTCAATACACTTCCGCACAACAGCAAATTTCCCCCTAAGAAAAAAATTGAAGGTATGATTAGAGTATCCTCTTAAGCCAAGTCTGCAACAGAACCAAACATTCTCCAAATTCCACCTATTATTATACAGTATTTATAACGCGCCAATAGTTCGCTCAGCGCTGTACATTACAAAGGAGGACAGAACATGTGACAGAACAATACCAATACAATGCAAAACATGAGGGGATCGAGGGCCCTGCTCTTTCGAGCTTCTAGGAGGGAGGGGATGGTGGTGGTACAGGAGGAGATAGCTGTGGGGGATGGAGTGGTAGGAAGAGTGGAGGAGGTCGGTCAAGTTAGCAGGGGGTGGGGTAGGCTTCCCTGAAGAGATGGGTTTTCAGGGTGCGCTTAAAGGAGAGGAGAGTAGGTGATAATCTGATGGGTTGGGGCAGGGAGTTCCAGAGGATGGGTGACACCCTGGAGAAGTCCTGGAGGCGGACATGGGAGGAGGAGACCAGGGAACTAGAGAGAAAGAGGTCTTGTGAGGAGCGGAGTGTGCGTGTTGGGCGGTACTTGGATATTAGGTCAGTGATGTAGTTCGGGGCAGTATGGTGGACGGCTTTGTACGTCAGTGTTAGGATTTTAAATTTGATCCGTTGCGCAATCAGAAGCCAGTGGAGGGATTGGCAGAGGGGGGTGGAGGACACTGAGTGGAGGCCAGTGGAGGGATTGGCAGAGGGGGGTGGAGGACACTGAGTGGAGGCCAGTGGAGGGATTGGCAAAGGGGGGTGGCGGAGATGGAGCGGTTGGAAAGGTGAATGAGTCTGGCAGCCGTGTTCAGGATGGACTGAAGCGGGGATAGCCAGCGGCGAGGCAGGCCAGTGAGGAGGGAGTTGCAGTAATCGAGTCGTGATATGATGAGGGAGTGGATGAGCTGTTTAGTGGTTTCTGGGGTGAGGAACGTGCGGATTTTGGTGATGTTGCGGAGGTGGAGTCTGCATGAGTTTGTTAAAGATTGGACTTGGGGCTGGAAGGATAGGTTGGAGTCCAGAATGACACCAAGTACTCTGGCCTGCGGGTGGGTTTGATGGTGGCGTTGTTGGACATGATGGAGAAGTCAATGGGGGTGGTGTCCAGGCTGGGGGGGGGGGGGGGGGGGGGGGGGGGGAAGACAAGAATTATTCATTTGAAAAAGTACCACATCCTAAAATTATCAACATACAAATATGACGACACACCTACAGAAAATCAAGTCAAATTTAAATTTATAACACTAAAAAATCTATAGTAATAAAACATTTGCATTTGCTGATCATCTAAACACAAATGTACATCAATCCATCTGATACCCCAACAGAATACAGCTTAGCATAGAAATTTTTATACAGTCCATGTTTCCATTATTATGAAGATAAACCTTGGGGTATCACCGTTCACCACATTTCTCAGGCAGAACCTACTTCCTCAGGAGAAGAATGGGAGTCCCTTACAAACGATATGAAAACACAACTAAAGGGCAGAAGCAACTAATCGATATAATCAATTATGAAAATAGTTGTCGATTATTTTCATAATCCATTAGTTGGACAGCCGATTAGCTGGCCTGCATAAAGAATGCATTATTTGTTTAACAGACACACACATCAGCTTGAGAAAGGAGCGCACTTCCGCCTTCCACGGCCAGCGCATGCTCCGAAACGCGTCGCAGCTGCTTGAGAAAGGAGCGCACTTCCGCCTTCCACGGCCAGCGCATGCTCCGAAACGCGACGCAGCTGCTTGAGAAAGGAGCGCACTTTCCGCCTTCTGGGGCCAGCGCATGCTCCGAAACGCGTCGCAGCTGCTTGAGAAAGGAGCGCACTTCCGCCTTCCGCGGCCAGCGCATGCTCCGAAACGCGTCGCAGCTGCTTGAGAAAGGAGCGCACTTCCGCCTTCCGGGGCCAGCGCATGCTCCGAAACGCGTCGCAGCTGCTTGAGAAAGGAGCGCACTTCCGCCTTCCGGGGCCAGCGCATGCTCCGAAACGCGTCGCAGCTGCTTGAGAAAGGAGCGCACTTCCGCCTTCCAGGGCCAGCGCATGCTCCGAAAACGCGTCGCAGCTGCTTGAGAAAGGAGCGCACTTCCGCCTTCCGCGGCCAGCGCATGCTCCAAAACGCGTCGCAGTGCGCCCTGGGTATCTGACGTCATCACGGCCACGCCGCCGCTGCGTTCCAGCGTGTGTTCCACCAAGCTCAGAGGGAGGACGTGCATGCCGGGCCGCCGGCCTCACCGCTGCTCTCCTCCTGCTACCATGCAGCTTCAGCGGCAAGCTACTGTTTACCACGTTTTTTTTATGCCCATATTAATCCTCCTATGTGAGTGTTCCTACACATATTCTTTAATAAAGTGACATATTGCACTTAGAGGTGCTTCTCTCCTTCTCTCACACACATCAGCAATTTCCTGAGAACCTGTGAATGTGTGAAAAGCCATTACCTTTAGTAAATCAACCTCAATGCCTTGTGGGACATGTAGTCCTAGGCACGAGACGGAAGGGAGCGATTCTAAAGACAGAAGTGTTTTTACCTTGCTATTTGGGCAATCTAAACTAGACTTTGCTTCTTGCTATAGGGTCACTATGAAGGCAGGAGCAGCCAGTAGTGTCAGTGAGGAGACCCCAGAAGAGGAGAATCAAAAAAAATCCAAAACAGTTTACAATCAATCACTTTAAGGGCTCTGTGAAGGGAAGATCAACATGTGAACCCAGAGAAGCTGCAGGAGGCCGATAGACTGGAGGTAATAAAAAGCCATTACAATCAAATTTAAAGTAAAAGTTACCTGGTTATATTCATAGAGTGTGAAATATATATATATATATATATATATATATATATATATATATATATATATATATGTGTGTGTGTGTGTGTGTGTGTGTGTGTGTGTGTGTATGTATATATATATATTATATATGTGTGTGTGTGTGTGTGTGTGTGTGTGTTGTGTGTGTGTGTGTGTGTGTGTGTGTGTGTGTATATATATATATATGTGTGTGTGTGTGTGTGTATATATACAGTTGTGTCCAAAATTATTCAACCCCCAATGCTGTAAAGGGGTTTAGGGACTATAGTGTACATTTGGAATTGTATTCAGAATCAAATCCTACAAGGACGTTGTAACTACCCAAATGCAACTAAAATGACATCAATTGTTTATGTAATACAGTAGTAAATGGTTCTTATGTGGTTTCTTCATTGCCACAATTATTCAACCCCTTAAAGACTACCACTCTGAAGAACAGAGGTTCATACAGGTGCTTTCCATCAGGTATTGAAAACACCTGTGGATGTCACCGAGCAGCAATCAAGCATAATAAGCACCAATTAGGCAGCTTTAAAATGACTGTGATACTCAGCTCCTTCTAGACATTTACTGGTGTGGTTACAAACATGGTGAAGGCAAGAGAATGGTCCAGGAAGACAAGAGAAGAGGTGATTTTCTCTTCACAGGAAGGGCAATGGCTATAAGAAGATTGCAAAGATGTTAAACATACCAAGAGACACCTTAGGAAGCATCATTCGCAAATTCAAGGCAAAGGGCACTTTTGAAACGCTACCTGGTCGTGGCAGAAAGAAGATGCTGACTTCGACTGCTGTGCGCTACCTGAAGCGTAGAGTGGAGAGAAGTCCCCGTGTGACTGCTGAGGAACTGAGAAAAGATTTGTCAGATGTGGGTACAGAAGTTTCAGCCCAGACAATAAGACGCACACTGCGTAATGAAGGCCTCCGTGCCAGAACTCCCAGGCGTACCCCCTTGCTGTCTCCAAAGAATAAGAAGAGTCGACTGCAGTATGCCAAAAGCCATGTGGACAAACCACAAAAGTTGTGGGATAGTGTTCTGTGGACTGATGAAACAAAATTAGAACTGTTTGGGGTTTGGGCCCATGGATCAACGCTATGTTTGGAGGAGGAAGAACAAGGCCTATGATGAAAAGAACACCTTGCCTACTGTGAAGCATGGTGGGAGGTCAATCATGCTTTGGGGCTGTTTTGCTTCTGCAGGTACAGGGAAAGCTTCAGCGTGTGCAAGGTACCATGAATTCTCTTCAGTACCAGGAGATATTGGAGATGGAAACGTGATGCAGTCCGTCACACACCTGAGGCTTGGGAGACGTTGGACCTTTCAACAGGACAATGATCCCAAGCATACCTCCAAGTCCACTAGAGCATGGTTTTGCAGAGGAAAGGCTGGAACATTTTGGAGTGGCCATCGCAGTCACCAGACTTAAATCCGATTGAGAAAACCTCTGGTGGGACTTAAAGAAAGCAGTTGCAGTGCGCAAGCCTAAGAATGTGACTGAACTGGAGGCCTTTGCCCATGAAGAATGGGCGAAGATACCCGTAGATCGCTGCAAGACACTTGTGTCAAGCTATGCTTCACGTTTAAAAGCTGTTATAACTGTAAAAGGATGCTGTACTAAGTACTAAGATTGAATGTCACTTGGGGGTTGAATAAAACTGATAATGCTGTGAGCACAGAAAAGGACATTTGTGGTTATTTCATTATAACTGTTATGTTAAATTTGTCTGACCTACAAGTGCCCTCTTTAATGTAAATGTAAGCAAGATGACTGAATGATCAAAAGCAATGTCAAACTGGCCAAAACACTCAATTTCAGTGGGGGTTGAATAATTTTGGACACAACTGTATATATATATATATATATATATATATATATAAATGTGTGTGTGTGTGTGTGTGTGTGTGTGTGTGTGTGTGTGTGTGTATGTATATATATATATATATATGTGTGTGTGTGTATACATACACACACACACACACACACATATATACATACACACACACACACATATATACATACATACACACACACACACATATATACATACACACACACACACACACACACCACACACACACATATACAC